TTTATACAAAGGTTATTTGCATATTCTAGAAGCCAGTACAACCTAACATGTACAGCATGCCTGGTTCTACAGAGTGGAAGTCCAGGTTGATTTTGCAGCACATTTACATGACAGCTGAGCTTCACACTTACATGAGCTTCACATGGTCCCCTATTTAGTCTAGCTCTGGCCTTATCAGCAGAGATACAGAAGAGAGAGGGTGCTTTCTTGGCATGCTGGGGAGTTGTGAACTTGCTTGGCAGTCATGTTTCAAGTTGTCCTTCGTGGTGGACTTGTGCCCCTGTGGGATACTCTACTGTTCCCCCCTCCCCAGGATTACTGCAAGTTCTTAGTAATTGTGAGATCCCCACATTAGACTTGTCTGAAGTAGTATTTAGCTCAGTGTGCTTCTAATGGTAGGCTTTGGTGGAACACAGACTTGGGTTGACATTTCAGCCCTTGCACTGAACCCGTGAACCCATTATCTAGCCTTTCTAAGCTGGGGATGATGGTTAATAGGACTTTGAAATCTCTAGAGATCTTCTTGAGGTTTTGGGCTAAATGGCAAAGGCAGAGATTCCAGTTCTGCCTAATGAGTGGTGCATGGGCTCTACACGTTTTCTGAGGCAGAAACCTGTGATCTCTGTTCTTCAGACATGTGGGTGTTGGTGAAATAAGCAGGTGGTTCTTCTAAGGAACTGATAGATAGGCTTGTGGTTGGTTACTCAAGCTAAAGATGGGAGACTGGACATGTGGGTGACCTCTCCAGATGTGACTTGAGGAAGCACAGGTAGTGTGGAATCAACATTCCTCTTCCCCAGCTTCTGGCCAGCTGGGTGCGTATCTGGCACATAGGTGTGACCCTAAAATAGACTATCGGAAACTACCACACTTCTAACTCTGAGAGAAGGGGCTGTCTCCATGCAAGTCAGGCTTAGAGAAGGTGGTGCCTAGGGTGGCTGTGGGCACTTTGTGGGGGTGGGCTACACACCCTCTAAAGGGAGAGTGGGCTCAATGGCAGACGTCTGTGCTGCCTTCCTAGTCCAGGTGTTCTGCTCGTGCTCAGCAGTCTGCAGCATGAACACTTAGGCCAAGGAGGCTGTGCATGACTACCATTACCCGCAGACTTGAACCCACCACCTGGCAATCTGACACCAGCCTATAAATCCTGGGCAAACGATACACGCTAATTAGTTTGACTTTTGCTGTGGAAATGTCCACTTTTCCAAGTGGATATGTATACCTGGAAAACAGGACTAGACTGGTGCAACGGAGGCTAAGTCAACCAGGTCTGTAAAGGACTAAGAGGTGAGAAGCTGCAGGCCTGTTCCAGCTGTGTAGGACTTGGGTGTCTGGAGGCAGGGCTGGAGGGGGTAAGCAGAAGGGTCTAGGGAGGGCAGGCATTGAAGGAGGGAGAGCCTTCCTGTTGAAGGCTGCCACAGGAGTACTGGGCTCCTGCTAAGGCAAGTCTTCAAGGCTTCTTACTTTAGTGAGAAAGGAGGATGTGCTGGATGCTGGAGAGTCGGGAAAGGAAAGCATCCTGTCGCCCTCAGCTACCGAGTCAGAAAGGCCTTCATATTTAGCCTGTGGGAAAGGTTAAGGCTTTAAAACCAAAGATGAACCAAATTGCAAATTACGACTCATTAGCTAACAAAAGTGTTGCTTGTACACCTGTTTTATTAATTGGGCAATCAGAACTGTTTGGCAGGCTTTGTGCTCTGGGCCCTGCTCCCATTCTGCCTCTGGTGGCCCTCTCCAACCCTGCCAGCTGGGCTGGGTTCCTAGTCCCTGTTTCAGTAGCCCCTAGGGTATGTTCATTGCCCATCACTCTACATCATCTGGGTTCTCCTTTCCCATGTGACTAGGTTCTCACCCTGGGGACTGGCCTATCACCTAGCTGTATATAGCTCACCACCTAGCTGTATATAGCTCACAGATGCTCCACTGACCTTCAGAGAGGCCAACAGGTGTGCATAGTTTTCTGTTGCCTTTCTCCAGGAGCTCTATTCCAATTCTTGCACCTTGGAGTCAAGTATGCTCTATGAAAATTATACTGCTACCTTTGAGTCAGGCTTAAAGATCTCTCACCAGCTTGTATGTATTTCTGTGACCCTGTGCCCGTTGCTGAGCTTTCCCATGGCTCCTTTTGCTCCCCTGTAACCTCAGAGCTTCTGGCTGGGGCTTTCCTGTTTCAGTCCCTAGTCCTGCAAAATAGCTGCAGAAATTTGTTAGACTCAAAGATTCCCATCCCCCTTTGGGTTGCAGGCATAGAGGTTCCAGGTCCTGAGTTGGGTGGAGGAAGTAGGTTCTGTGACAGCATCTCTCCCTGCACCTGTCTCTTCTGGATTCATCTTTCTCTATATTCTGCCTATGAAGGCAGTGTGGGCTAAGAAGGACTGACATGGATTCCATAGCCTTCTACTATCCCTCTTTGCCAGTCACATTCCATGGCTCCCTTTCCTGCATACTGTACATTCCAGCTGCACTGGTATGCACCCCATCCTTCCTAGCCTCTTCTGTCATCACGTGGTTTCCTGCCCGACAGCCCTTCACTTCTCCAAAGGCCTCTTGTCCCAGGCAGGCCTTGAACATGGGATCTACCTGCCTCAACTTTCCAAGGAGCTGAGATTACAGATCTATACAGCCAAGCCTGCCCCATTTCATATTCTTGTCTGTGGTTCAGCTCAGACGTTACCTCTTCCAGGAAGCCTCCATCCTCTCTCTGTGTGTCTAGAGGTGCCTGCCCTCACAAGGGAACGGACTTACTGCTCCCTACAGATTACGGACGCGTCATTTTGCTTTCCTCACCCCATATTCTGTCAGCCCTGTGTAGCCATCTCTGTGCCCAGATAGGGTCATCCTGCAGTGGACTCAGGCATCAGCTGCCTCACTGAGCTAAGCCCATCCCACACTTTCACTCACTTAACCATCCCAGGTGTCCTGTCACTCCATGCTGTTGTTATCCAAACCTTCCAGAGGGCAAGGATACTACAGCTGAGAGAGATTAAGCACCAAGTGGCCATGCTGAGCTCTGTGTCCTGGCTTTTACCTTAAACCCTGTTACAGGCTCCAAACGAATGGGGTGGGCACAACTCTCACAATAACAGGTAAAAGCCATCAGAGCCAATAAGCTTCTGAAGATGCCACCAGTTCTAAAATGCTTCTTGTTTTGTTTTCCTCACTGTTGAGGTTTTATGAAGGTCAGGCAGGGAGTGGGATGGAGGCAGCCAGAGAGACACTTGGTCATCCCAGGTGGCACTTGCTTCTGGGAGCTGGCATTTCAGGGTCATTCATCTGAGCAGCTGGAACCCTGGCGTGTTAGAAAGGTAGCAACGTTGCCCATTTGTCTCTGCATTTCTTTCTCTCTTAGTTTTTTCCTAAGATAGACTTTTACTTTATCTAGGTTGACATTAGCCTCCCGAGCTTGGATTATATATTGTCCCCACCCCCACCCCCACCACCTGGCTTCTGTGTTTCTTTTTAACCCTACAAATGCTTAAGAGGTAAAGCCTGCCAGTTACCCACTGTTGCTAGATCTCCACCATGGAGATGAATGCATTCCATTTGAGGGCCTCTGCTGCAGTAGAAGGAAGGGGAGGTGAGATTTAAAAGTAATCATAACCCTCAGCCAGAGGGTTAATGTGATTCAGAGACAAGGGATTTTTACTGTTGAAGCTGGGAGATGGAGAAGCCCTGACCACTCCCAGTTGCAAAATAGCTCCCAGATACTGGCTTCCTGACTTGCTTTGTAGGGACTTGTTCTAAGCCTGAATGTTTTTACAACCTTGCCTCCCTGCCAGGAGTTTCTGCAGGCCCTTGAAATAGCAGCCTCTGTAAATGAGGGAGGGAAGCCAGGGACCACCAAAATCTCCCTTGTGATGACTGTCCAGGTAGCTGCAGCCCACACTGGTAACATGGGCAGTTGAGCAGACACCAAGGATCTCTTGGACCTGCCCTTGTGCAGTTCTTTAGGTTTTAGAGCAGGCCTGTTTTGTAGCCTAGGAAGCAGACATTCAAAACAGTGGACACATGGGTAAGCATTGCTCTTAGCTGTGGTCTGGGCTGGCTGTAAAAAAAAAACAACAGTTCTTATCAAGGGCACACATGCTGGAGGAAAATAAAGAACAGAGCTGAGCCAAAGGTCAGAATCTTCAGGAAATATTTCCATTCTTGTCCTGACTGGTGGGGAGTGTGTGGTGTTGGGAACAGAAGATGGGGGTGGGGGTGCTGTGAGCTTCATCTGATCATTTCAAGAAATGAATTGGTAATGGATGGAGTCTTTCTAAAACAAGGTAAAAGTACTCAGACCATGATCCAAAATCATGATCCAAAATCCAAAATCATGATCCAAAATCCAAAATCTATCAGACAATAGAAAAAAAAAAGTGAACTTAAATATTAATTGCCAAAAAAGGGCTTCCTAGAGAATCTGAAGTGACTTTTTTCTTTGCATTTATTTATTTGTGTGTGGGTACACATGTGGTATGGCATACATGTGTGTGGGTACACATGTGGTATGGTATACCTGTGGAGATCAGAGGACAGCTTGCAGGAGCTGGTTTTCTCCTTGTACCATGTGAGTTCTGGGTATTGAATACAGGTCATCTGGTTTGGTAACGTATGCCTTTGCTAGCTAAACCATCTTGCCAGCCCCAAGATTTTATTTATCAACCGTATAGCTATAGAAACTGAAGCCTGACTGGGAAAGCAGTGTAATTTAGATTCCAGTGTATTGGTCTAAGAACCTAGACAACTTGCCAGTCCAAATTGATCCCGGAAGGTGGGGTTTAGTGATGGCACAGAACTTAAGTGAGAAGTTTGCCAGTGTGGACTAGGTAGACTGGGAGCATTGGGGAGTGTCAGCTGGCTGGGCCACCCTAAGATATGTGAGATACGGGCGCCCGGGTGTCTTTGGGGTGGAAAAGAGCTGATGGTGAGGGGAGGCCCACACTGCTGAAGAAGGGAGTGTGTGTGAGGGTGGTGTTTGAGTTCCTTACTTCTCTTCCTGCCTCGTCTCATAGGTGATTGCTGTGGTAATGGACGTTTTCTCAGACATCGACATCTTCAGAGACCTACAGGAGATTTCTAGGAAACGGGGTGTGGCTGTGTACATCCTTCTGGACCAGGCTCTGCTCTCCCACTTTTTGGACATGTGCATGGATCTGAAAGTTCATCCTGAGCAGGAAAAGGTTTGTGAGACACCATTTTCCATTTCCCCTCTGTCAGCAATGTGACAGAGTGCCCATGGTCTACAGTGTGGTGGTGGTGGTGGTGGGCTCCCCACCGACACGTGAGGAAACTGAAGTCTCAGAAAATGAACACCAGCCGTGACCTTGCAGTTCCATTCCTCAGTAACTACCCAAGAGGAGAGAAACACACACAGCGACATGTCTGTTCATAGATGCTGGGAGTTTCATCAGCTAATAAGTGGATAAACAGAACACTAGCTCTTTAAAACAATAGAATAGTATACACCCTTCAAAAGTATTGAACTGACACATGCTACCACATGGGTGAACCTGAAAACATTATAGTAAGTGTAGGAAGTCATACAGAAATGATCATATACAGTGTGATCCCGTGTATACAAAGACCAGAAGAGGATCATCTGTAGAGACAGAAAGGTAGATTAGCATCACGTTTGGGGGCGTGTGATAGAGCGCTGGGTAGGTTTGTAGCTAAAGGGGTACAGGTAATGAGAAAGTTCTACAACTGTGGAAATGGTTTTGTATATCCATAAAAGTGTAGATTTGCACACTAAGCAGGTGAATTTTGTGGTGCATGAATTACATCTCCATTAAGCCATTGTAAAAAAAAAAAGGGCAGAATTGCTCTCAGGTTTCCCAGCAGTGAGTACAGACCAGCCGTAGCCAAGCCAGTGCTTGGAGGGTGCTGCCACCTGCCACCATGGCTCCAGGTGGCTCCTCTTTTAGCCACAGAGACCATCTTGGAGCTCTGCTTCTGTGCCTGGCCCTGCTCACTGCTCTGACAGATATGACAGCGCGCACACTCATGGTGGCCCTGTCAGGTTGTGGTCCTGTTTGTGGATCAGGAAACGGTGAGATCAAGAGCCCAGGAGTCCACAGCTACAACATGGCCCAGGCTTTGACTCAGTCTGCCTTCCTCTCACCCAATGTGTGCAGTCGCTGTCACCCTCTGCTGCTCATGACAGAACCAGGTCTTATGTCCTTTTCTCTGGGCATGAGAATAATTCAGTATCTCGATATAAGGCCACAGCCCTGGCTTAGTCTCTTTGGGAATGCGGTAAGAGATGCATTTGTTATAGAATTCATGTTCTAAAGAATGGAGCAACTTGGGAAGGTCAGAACATAATTTATCATCATGCTGCCAGGCACTTCTTGGCACAAGGAATGCAGCATTCAGCAGAGAAGTCAGCCTTTGCCCCTCTAGGCCTCTGTGAGAGGACCTGACTTAGTGCCTTGTAAACAGACAGATAGGTTTTTACAAAATTTCATCTTTTTAGCATTCCTCCAGAGCTCCTGCTGACTGCTTTTCCTAATAAAGCAAACCAAGGTTTGCTGAATAAGGTCATTTCTAGCTTGTCATTTGTAGCACAGGGCAATTCATGATACAGGTAGGATTGGGCTTTGAGACTCAAATGGGGCAGCCATGTGACTCAGCAGTCAGCTTGAATATAAGTCCAGGAGGACCAAGGAAGATGCCAGTTGGGCATGGTAAAGAGCACTGCCATCTAGCCAGGTATTTAGGCCACAGCTGCTCTTGTGGAAGGGGCCAGGGTATAATTTCAAGGTGCTCTTGGGTAATTAGGCCGAGTCTCAGCAGCAGAACAATGACAGAACTGTCCCAGCTGTGACAAAGCCATTTGCTCTGCTTCATCAACAAGGCAGAAACCCAGGAGTGATTGCTGATTTTGTTGGCGGCTGCCTTCATGGTGGTCCAGAGCCTCTGCAGGAAGTTTAAAGACAGTTTGTCTTTATAGTAGGTTATCTCCTTTCTAGGTAGACTCCACCTTCCCTCCTAGGTTAGTCTGTGTTGTGGGTCTATGCCCTTTTCAGAGGCTCCTCCTATCCTGAGCTCTGATTGGTTCAGTATTTTGAGTCACTCTGTCTACAAGAATCTGGCTGCATATTCGTGGACAGGTGTGCAGAAGTGCTGTGTCCACAATTACAGGCTTCCACGACATTCAGCTATGTTAAAAGAAAGGATACAGCCATCTCTAGCCCTACAGGTAGGCTGTGTTTATGCTCACTGTGTGTTGACTTACCTACTCCATCAAGCCAATTCCATGTGCTCATCTGTGAAATATTCCAGGTTTTAAAGAAAAACTTTACCTTGAAATTAAGATTTATGAAGGGTTATAGAAATGGATACCTGAGTTTGGGTCCCAACATGCATGTATCTGATGCACTCATGTGTACATACTCATACATAGACACTCATAATTTAAAATCTTTTAAAAATCATTTTTTAAAGATTTAAGATAGTGCAGCAGTAATATAAGGAATTTCTAAATGTTCTGTGTCCAAATTCTTCAAATGTTATTATCTCACTGTCCTCAGTGCATATAACAAAATCAGCTTGGAGCCAGGCAATGGTGGCGCACGCCATAATTCTAGCACGTGGGAGGCAGAGGCAGGCGGATCTCTGAGTTCAGGGCCAGCCTGGCCTACAGAATGAGTTCCAAGACAGTCAGGACTACACGAAGAAACCCTCTCTTAAGCCTCCAGTGTTCCCCCGCCCCAAAAAAAGTCAGGTTTAGTACCATCTTATCTCTGCACCTTCTGAATCTCAGCTTCATTTCACTCCTGCCCCTTCTGTAGCCCAGGATCCAGTCCAGCAGAGCACCTTTCATCCACTAGTGAAGTTTCCCTGTGTGGTCTGACATCTGACACTTGTGGAGAACACTAGCCATTGTTTCTGTGGCTCAGTTCCTATGCATTTTGATAAAAATACCAAAGACATGATTGTATGTCCAGATGTTAGGTTTTAATTTTAATGTCTTATTTGGCAATAATGGCTGAATTGCAGAGCCGCAGACAGCACAGGGAGTACCATGTATGTCTTACCTGGCTTCCCAGTCGTTTGTTTGTTGCACTATATGACAGTCCAGAGCTGGAGCCTGGAAGTGGTGTTGGTGTACCTGTGCCCTTTGTTGCCCATGTGTATGAAGGTAGAACTGTCGGTGCACACCTTTAATCACAGCACTCGGGGAGCAGAGACAGGTGGATCCGAGAATCTGAGGCCAGCCAGGGTTACATAGACAGATCTTGTCAAGAAGGAAAGGAAATTGCTCTGTCACCACAAAGATCACCCTCATACTTCACCTCCGAGGTCATGGCACTCCTGTCTGTGTTATTCTGTCACATCCTACAGTGTGTGTCTTTCTGAGATTGGCTTCTAGCCCTTGGCTCAGTGTTTTTGAGAACCGTGTAAGTTACATGTTTCAAAAGCTTGCTCCTTTTTAATGTGTTTGTTTAATTGTTGAGTGTCCAGGTGTGGTTGTGTTGTAGTCTAGGCTCTAACTGTTAGGACCAGCGTTGCTGTGACTGCTCATGCTGAGACTCTGCAGACATGGGTCTCCCTCCTCTGCCTCATGTGGTGTCTTGCCTAGGATTTCAGTCATCAGTTACTTTTTTCTCCAGTTTTTGAGGGCAAGAAATACACCTCACACCTCTGCTATTTAGTGTGGTGCATGGGAGAGGCTCTCTGTTTCTATAGAATAAATAAGATTCAAATGATCCTAAACATTTACTTAAAATGTAAAATTTGTTATTATTGTGTGTGATGTGTGTGCAATGCACATGAGGTCAGAGGACAACTTTGTGCATCAGGTCTCTCCTTCTATCTTTACGTGGGTTCCAGGGATTGGACTTAACTTGTTAAGGTTACATGACAAGCACTTTAAGATTTATAGTGATATACAGCTTCTATTCTGCTCAAGATTGTCTTCATATTTTGCATGTTGTTATGTATGCATTTGTATGTGTCATCTCTATGGGAATAATTGTGCATCCATATGTACATGGTGTATCTTTTTGGTTACTGTGTACCTGTAAGAGATGTGAACTGGCTGATTAATCACCACATGGTATGCTAGAGACTTGACCTGATTACAGCTTCAAGCCCCTTCCAATGTGGAAGTAAGTAAAGTAGGCTGTTATTCCTTATTGATGCAGTGAATCAAAGAAATAGGAGAAGTGCCAGCTTAGTTTTCAATCCTTACCAAATGTTATTCATTACTAACATATATTCTTTGCTTATTTTATCTCCCCTGCTTTTGTTTCATAATCATTTCTTGGATTCTATTGGTTTCTTCCAAAAGGCAAATGTTCTTTATAGTACATACACACATGAGCTAAGGATCTTTAAATATCAGCCAAGTGTGATGGTGCAGGCCTGTAATCCCAGCTCTTGGGATTGCATGTCCAAGACCAGCCTGGATGATAAAAGACCTCTTCTCTACATAGGAAAAGATGGGCTAGATGCAGAAGTAACATTACTTGAGCAGTGTCTGACTAGTGTATCATGTGTGCTGTCGCTCAATGGTGACCCTGTCCTAAGCTCCCGCAAAGAGGTGTGTTGGGGGGCAGGAAGCTCAGCCCGCTGGACAGTGTCACTGTGTTGGTTGCTGATTTTATTTTTTCCTCCCACTCCCTGCCCCACAGCTGATGACAGTGCGGACTATTACAGGAAATATCTACTATGCAAGGTCAGGAACCAAGGTTGTTGGGAAGGTTCATGAAAAGTTCACACTGATTGACGGTGTCCGGGTGGCCACAGGCTCTTACAGGTATGTTTTGAACAATGCCTCACCAGTTAGTCCAGACCCTGTAGAGGAGTAAATGCTTGCTCCTGCCAACAAGAGCCCTTCTGATAAACCCTCACCCCCACCCCGTGTGTGTGTGTGTGTGTGTGTGTGTGTGTGTGTGTGTGTGTGTGTG